GTGCTGCCTTACGTAAGGAACGAGACTGATTATGGTGCCGCTGTTCCCGGTGCTCCCTCCTTCCCAGGCTGCCCGCGGTTTTAAACCGCTTTTCCCGCAGAGGGAAAAGCGGCTCCACAATCAACCCGAGGCTCTCTTCCTTCTTCCGTCACTTTGCCTCCCTTTCTTCCCTTTTTGTTTACGTTTCCTTCTGCAGGAATCTCCCACTGAACTTTTTCTAAAACGTTCAAAAACTAATTGCTGGGTGCCGTCACCTCAAGCCGCGGTTTTAGTGCTTTCCATTTGCAGAGCCTTGGGTAGAAGTTCTCCCACGCGAGACGCGGAACCTCCCACCAGGTTTTGCTGGTTCTATTGCGGACACCCTGTGGGGCCCGAGCTGCTCGTGCGGGGTTGTCTCCACGCACCTTGCACAAACTCCCTAAATCGGCAAAATGAGGGGATCTGGCCAGGAGGGTGCTTCTGTGTGAAACCTCTGCCTCATCCCTCTCACGTCCAAACTGCTCTTGTGTTCAAACTAAAATAAACAAGCGTTTGGGTATTTTTTGTACAACTGGTCTCGTACAAAGGAGCGCTCTCGGTAATGGATGAGGTGCGAGGAAGGGTTCAGGGTCACTGTCCGGGAAGATGCTTTCACAACACACCCAGGATTTCTTTATTCTGCTTAAGGAAAAGAGTTTGCACAAGTGCTATGTTTAGGTTTGGTGGTAGTTGTGAAAAATGCGGGGTTTTTTATTGGTTTTTCGCAAATATTAAAATGTATATTACACGTGTTATGTTAGAAAATAATGCCATATCAATTCTCTTAAGTAGTGTGTTAAATATAGTTTTGGGTTATAAAAAAATGTTGAAATACAAACTATGCTATGTAGGATACTTTTTTTAAAGAAAGGACTTGCAGTGAAATAGCAGCTACAGGATACCTAAACTTTCAGAGAAAAAGAATTTATTGCCCTCTTATCAGAAGAAACGAACTTCTTCCCACCTCGAAGGCCCTGTTAGGATTGGGAGGAAGTTGAGGATGACCAGACAGAATCCTGTATTTGAATGGAATTTATGCATCATGTATGAAGTGTATGAATATGCAACAGGCTATTGCTTTTAAGGGTTAATCCTTTGTTACCGTGGATCCTTTTTTGGGCTCATGCTGCCCAGAAAAAGGTACCCGGACGTCCATAACTCTTTGTCTCTATTGTCTCATATTGTTCTAATTCAAATTGTCCAAAGTATTATTACTCTAATTGTATTACTATTTTTATAACCATTTTATTATTATTAAACTTTTAAAATTTTAAAAACAAGTGATTTGTGTTTTTCACACTAGTTTACATTCCTGTTCTTCCATTAGGTGGTTTCCATGGGACAAACTGACAACTGGGACAGATTCTTAACACCAAGGCCAGATCAGCAACTACTCTTTGCTCACTGCATTCGGAAAATGGCACCGTCTTTGTTTTTCATGTGCCTTGCCACAGTATAAATACTTAGTATTCTATTATGATTCACCTTGCCTGAAGCAATTAAAATATGTCCTTCCTGAAGATCAAATTTATTTTCATAATAAAAGTCAGAGTATATATACTATATATATATACATATACACACTATATATATATATATAAAAACTTTATATATATATATATATATATAGTTATGTTTTTTAATGTTTTCCTTTCTCAGTCTATTTTTACTAATCATTGCTCTACAGTCAAACACAACATCTTCTCTGGTATCAAGCCCACATACAGACTGTTCATCCAGAAGGAAGTTACGATTTAGATGGGTGAATAAACACATATTTCCATACTAAAACCTTATACTGAATTAGTTTATTTTCCACTGACCCATTCTCCAGCACAGAATTTGGTCTCCATGTCCTGTTCATAGTGATGTTTCACAACAGCACACTATAACTAAGTAAGGTACTTGTTCATTTCATGTTGTGTTGTTAATACAAAATGACGAGAGTAGATCTTAGAATATTGTTGCACTGTAGCAGTACTGTCCTCAGTGACTCTCTCTTTGCAACTATAATAAAAACAGCCTCTGGAGGGCAGCAAACCTCAGGCAATTACTAAGTTTTGAAATAAAGAATTTGAGAACATGGATTTAATTTGATTGTTCTGTCTTTTAGGCTCTTTAGAAAGTAGGTCTATTCTCAGCATCCAGGGTTCCAACATTCAATGTATATAGTGTGTCAGAAGGATGGGGCCAGGCTCTTTTTGGTGGTGCGGAGCAATACAACAAAGGTCAATGGGCCCTTTGAAACTGATGCACAGGACATTCTACCAGAACATGAGGAAGAACGTTTTTTACTGTGCAGAGGACTGAGCAGTGGGACAGGCTGCTGTGAGGGGTTGTGGAGTCTCCTTCTCTGGAGATATTAAAAAAGTTGTCCGGATACAACCCTGGTTAACGTGTTCTAAGGGACCCTGCTTGAGCTGGGAACTTGGACCAGATGACCATTGTGGTTCCTTTCAACCTGACCCATTCTGTGATCCTGTGAACACAGAAAATTGATTACCAGGACATGACTACTTCCCTTTACATGGCTCTTGTTTGCCTGTGCGTGGAATACGATGCCCAGTTTGGGGGTCTCCAGTAGAACAATCCTGATATGGAAAATCCCTGATGAATTGGAGTGAGTTCTGCTGAGTGCATGAAGATGGTCATGGGGCTGGGGCACTCGCCATGTGAGAGAGGCTGTGGGCTCTAGGATTTCTTCCAGCTGGAATAATGGGCAGCCTGCCAATACTGACAAGGAGCTTACTGAAAAGACAGAGGCAGGATTTGTATTGTGAGGAGGACAGAAAAATTCTCCTGGAGGTCCAGAGAGGCTAAGGAACGTCCCTCCATAAAGGATTGAGTGGAAAAACCCTCAAGCAACCTGAATTTAAGAGCTGCCTGCTCTGAGCAGGATATTGTCCTAGATATCATCCAGAGTCCTTTCCAACCTTAATATTTCTATGATTATATGAAAAAAATATAAAGTTATATTTAATTTCAGGGTTTATTTCCTCTCATGCAGGGCTTTTCTCAGTAACAAAAGTGAACATGAGTTCATGGTCTGAATTTTCAAGGTTTGCAGAGGCAGAATCAGAGAATCACTTAGTTTAGAAAAGACTTTTAAAATCCAGTCCAAACCATTAACCCAGAACTACCCCACTAAACCATGTCCCCAAGTGCCACATCTGCATGTCTTTTAAATAGCTCCATGGATGGCGACAACTGACTCTCTGTCAGGAGCATAACATAGGCTGATTGTTACTGTAGGTGGTCCCAAGTCTGGCAAACAGATGTTTCACTGAATGCAAGCACAACTCTCCCATACAGCACCTGGGACTGATGTATGTTTGTTAGTAGCTTGCACTCCAGCCAGAATCTAGGATGCTTTGTTAGATCAGTTTTATAGTAAAATATAGTTGAGTGGAAAAAAGTCCAACACATTGCTTTACAAAGGAAACCGTTTGTAGAATCAGCACTTTAGTTATCTGTATTAAATAAACTGCTTTTATAAGTGCTGCCACTACTCAGTTCACTCATCTGCACATAAAAATTGCAAAGTTTCTGAAAAATACTCAGACTGTGCAAGTATGACAGTTAGTTTTACTTTACATACAGAAAAGGAAAAAGTGCAACCACATTATTGTCTTGCCTTCAGCCTTCCCTGAACTAAACAAAAAATGGAAGATGTATAGCACTTAGCAGGACTGCACTTTTTCAGTCAATACCAAGCTGGGAACACTTCAGTCACCACTAAAGAATGTCGCTATGGGGATATGGGAAAATTTTAGCAGGTAGCTACAGCTTCATGAAAAGCTTTCTGAAAAGCAAAAGTATGGTCAAATTAGGCAAATTAATAAGTGGAATGAGCAGACACTCTAATGGCATGGGGAGACTGTTGGAGGTTATCTACTTATAAAATACACAGATGTGAAAGCAAAAATATTAAACTTTACTTTTCTTTATTTTTATTCTATTTTTGAAGACTACAAAACAAAAAGCAAGTAGCTCATTGTGCACTTCCCAGCTGTAAGCTTTGCTTCACAAACTTTGACTCCAGCACTAACACCATGGCCACAAGCATGCAAACCCACGCCCC